TTCTAAGGGCTTAAGGAAGAAAAAAAGATGCATTTTGGAGCATTTTGGAGCAAAATTGGGCTTGGAATGGATGGCATATGATTGGAGCCAAAATGTTGGACGAATTTGAAGGCCTTGTATTCACTTTGGACATAAAACAAAGGGCCTAGCCCATTCTCTCTTAAACCAAGCCCTTTGCCATGCATTTCCTTCCAATTCCAAAGCCCACAATCAATTCAAATGCCATGCAAATCCATATTCAACACCCTAAACTACAAGCATGCATCATCTCACCAAGCAATCAAACAAGCCACATGCATGTCCCTTTAATCATTCAACCACATTCCCACTTTCCTAGCTAACCCTACATGCATTCTTTATTCACTCTTCATCATTGCACCACAAATCATTCACCCACATGCACTCATATTCCCATTTCCTTTCCAACATCTCACATGCATTTCCACCTTCCTACTTCATCATTTCACCACATTCTCCCTCTTTAACTCACATGCACCCAAACAAAGCCAACCTAGCTAACCCTACATGCATTATTTATTCACTTTTCATCATTGCACCACCAATTCACCCACATGCATTTCCAACCATTCACACCCCTTTAATCATTCTCCTAGCTATCATTCACATGCTCTCCCATCCATTCTCTCCCTATATGTTCCCTCCACTACTCCTATAAATACCCTTGCACTCTCATCATTCAAGGCATTCTTCATCTCATTCACAACACAACACTCTTCAAAATCATCCATTCTTCCCCCTTTGGCCGTGAGTTTCCCTTCCATTTCTCCTCCATTTCTTCCATTTCCATAAATTCTCCAAACCATTCAACACACCAACAACATCCCTTAAACCTTGTGCTACAACAACGAGGAAGAGAAGAGTGCCTAAACGTTCATACAATTCAAGTTTTGAGTTGTTGGAATGTTTAGGTGTTTCTTTGATTTCAAAGTTTCATTTTAATTCTCTTTGTTTTGTATGTATGGAAGAGAAGAGTGCTTAAACGTTCATACAATTCAAGCTTTGAGTTGTTGGAATGTTTAGGTGTTTCTTTGATTTCAAGGTTATGAGGAACTAAACCCCCTTTAGGTAGGGGGTGATTCGAAACTATGTTTATATTTGCAATATGAATTGATTAACTTTCGTTGGAATTTCATAAGTTGTGGATTCAATTTGTTTAACCGTTTGATTGATAGCTTATTTATGAATGTTTATTAAGAATGCGCGCTTAATTTTCATGCATAAATATGACGCTAGAATATAAGTGAATTTCACCTAATCGTTATGAACTTATATTCACAAGTAGTGGAGGTTGCTTATAAACAATCGTGTTAAACATATTCTTGGCACGAGTTTCATGCTCATCATAGTAACGAATGCCTCGTCAACACTTATAGTTTTCATAATGCTTAATGATCTTTGATTGTATCTTTATTGTGCTGTTCACGTAAAGGACTTTTGGAGAATGTTGTGAATTGCGTTGCGCAAACCCATCCAATTCATTAACTTAAGGAAAACTTGACGGTTAATTTAAGCGGACCTAATTAATCCGGAGTGTTGAGTATCATAATTTATCGAAAGACCAACTGAGAATCAATCTTGTATGCAAGTATAACATGTGTGGAGAAAAACCCCTTAGCTAGCCTTCATTCCATTCATTCCATCACAATTTCATATTTACATTCCGCTCAGTTTATTAACTTGTTTTGTTATTTCAAATTTCGTCAAATCAAAACTTTTCCCCCCCTTTTTATTTTCTTGTTCTTTAGTGCTTAGAATCTGTTTAGTTTGTGTTTTAAAGTATTTTGAATCAAGCCATAATCTTAAATTCGTCCAAAATTAGTTTTGAGTCTTTTGGTTTGTCTTAATGTTTTAACGTTTAGTTTCACATTCTTTGAGTCTAGTTTAGTGTTTTATCTTGTTTTTACGTTTTTGAATCAGTTTACAAGGTCTTAGCAATCCCTCCTAATCCCCGGTCCAGAACGATCCCTACTTATACTTATACTACAATTGACAAAAAGAGGGTTTAATTTGTGTGCATATAATTTTCGCATCATGTATTTAACGTGTGAGAATTTCATTTTTCTCCTTTCTAATGTGCCCCTAATTAATGTTCCAGATTTTACCAAACAACTATTATTTCTATTTTTGAATAAAATATTACTTTTTAATCATTTCTAACTTGTTATGTTTCTTAAGCTCTGGGTGGAGTTGTCTTTTTCTCTTACATTGTCTGTTTCTAGAAAAATTCTCCAACAAAAACAATATAGGAGACCAAAGGTAAACGAGATGTTATAAGAATTATTTGGTTAAAATTTGGAACATTAATTAAACTAGAGAAGTCATAATTGTTTGGTTAAATTCTGGACATTAATTATGGGGTTTTTTTTAACAGAATATATTATTTACATTAAGAATGTGGAGGATTGGGCTAAACCTCATAATGAGCTAGCAATAATGTAGTTCAAATTCGTCTTTTTGCAAGATTGAACCTAAGATCACTTACAAATGAAAAGAAATATCACTATACCATATTATTAAGTAGAAAAGTGCACTTGCCGGGAAAAGAGAAGAGTAATATTCTTTACACATGAATACATAAATGTAAGTGTAAGTTGATTCCACATGGTATAAATTGAGTGGGGAAGACAAGTGAGGAAAGGCAAATGGGAAAGATAGCTGGCATTCCTCTTAGGTTCTGCAGTGACAATAACAATTTTCTTGTTCAAAAATTAAAACCATAGTTAAAACTTGTATCAAAGGTTTATTATTGTAGAAAATAATACCGGTTGGATATGCTTGGTAGAGCAAAAGGAAAACAAAGATAAGAGGATTAGTGTACCGATGAGATAGTTTACCAAAAACAAAAGTGTACCTATATGATCACATATGTAGAAATGGAGGAGGATAAGAATGAACAGAAGGCCACCTCTTGTTGCTTGCGTTGTAGACGACAAGTAATTGGGGAAGAAAAATATCTGAAAAAACCTATATTTACATATCCAAACTCATTTGGCTTGAATTACACTGAATTACTAAATTGTAGGAATCGATCGGTTGACATATTCAGAGTTGGCCCTGAAGGTAGCTGGAGTAGGCGCCTGTCTAGGGCCGCCACTTCGAAAGGGCCCCTAATTTTTTGGCGGAACTAGGCAGGTCTGGACGAAGATAGACGGGAGCTATGCGGGCTTATATGTAAAAGCTAGAATATGGAAATCTTTTGTTGCAGGGTCGGCCTCACGCGAGGAAGAAGACAACCATATTCTCAACATCATTTTAATTGCACGATTTTACTTAAGATGGTCTCATCATCTTTTTTTTATGGCCGCACGTCATCCCCCTTTTAAATAGTCCCCCACCATCTTATTTTTACTTTTTTGCTTCTCTCCTAAATATCACCTTTATGTTTATTTTTATGAGGTTTTATTACCCTATTTTAAGATCACACCACATATATCTTTATTATGTACCTAAAAGGTTAAAACTCTCATCTTTTTGAAAAATGACATTATTTAATGTTCAAATTAATTAGTTTATATAAAAAATAATAAATTATTCAAAATCCGCCTCGTCTGCCTAGGTTCGTATACGAAAATTACTATCCTCTTCACTTTAGTATTTTCCCTAGCGGTAAGATATCCAACCATTCATTCATTCATTGAATGTAATAAGTAACATTGTAACAATAGAAAAATGATTTGAATTTGGCGTACTGGGTAGGGACTTTTCTTTTGGTTTGAATTGGTTGAAAAATTAGATTATGTAAACTTAATAAGTGCATTTGCATCTAAAAACGCGAGACAGATAATATTTGAGTAATGTTTGTTTATCTTTCTTTTTTTTTATATTAATTTTTAATGATATTTGATGTAGAAATAGATTTTTCATGTATTTAGTGATTTTTTTTTTTCACATTTTTCATGTATTTAGTGATTTTTTTTACACATGTCAATGTACAAAATGTCAAAAGTTAAATAACTCTACGACCCTACTTTAAAAGCTCACCTAGAACCCTCAAATTCTAACGGCCGGCCCAGGACATATTGAAGGGCACAATGGTATTACAATTGAGAGGAAAACTGGATTAGTAAACGGGTCGTTGGCTGACTTATCACCACAACAAGGAAGGTTTGTTTATTTGAAAAATTGGTCAAAGGTTTAATTTAAAATTTAATAGTTTATAAATTTTTCGTAAAATACTTTAATACTTTTGGATTTATATCAACTTTTTGAGTATATGGTGTTTTATTTGTTATGACGAAAAAATCCAGCATGCATTAATTTTTCTTTTGACTAACAGCATGCATTAATTCAAGCCGCATGCATGCACGAGAAGGGCAGATAGCAAGAAGGGCCGTTGAGTTACGTGCACAAATGTAAATTAGCCAAATTCATCATGTACGTAAACATCTCAAAAATAATTACGGGCTGCCAATATTGTAGTAGTGCACATACTTTAATTTTAAAAATAAATAAAAAAAGTTATTCTTTGTTTCTATCGAAAGTTCATGGATATATGTTTTAATAAGAACATATATTTTATCAGCAACCCGTTCCTTCCGCTTTTTATGAATTTGGCACTATGTCTATGTGTCACCTCTTCCACTAATTTTGATGGGGTTTTTGAACATTAATTCTTGCAAAAAATTAAAATTAAAAAATAAATAAATAAATAAATAAAACCTTGTGCTAATTACATATTCAATTTAATCTCTTGAAGTGTACTTTTATCAAAATTTATATTCAATTTTTGTTACTTAATGTGTATTTTTATTTAATCTCTCCACATTAAATTTTAATTTTATTAATATGCACATATTTAGTTCTTTAATTATAAATGAACACATATGAGAAAATATTAAAAGAAATTTGTGATACAAAAATATATAAATACATAATTGTACAGAAATGACTGTGTAGAAATATATAAAATTGACTTTTTTGTACCGAAATATTTGTACCTACATGATTGTACTAAAATATATTATAATGAACCTAAATGTATGTACCAAAATGTATTATATTGAATCAATGTACCTAAATGTCAATACTGAAATGTATGTATGTATCAAAATGTATGTACCGAAATATAGTATATTGAATTAATGTACCTAAAAGTCAATACTCAAATGAGAGGTATTGAGTTTGAATCTCGTGGATGGCGAATTTGATACCAAATTAAATTGTTCATTGTGTGGCTTAGCCGAACCCCCTCACCTTAGTCTAAAATATATCGTTGTACTTACAAAAAAAAAAAAAATAAATAAAATAAACTCAAATGTGTGTACCAAAATGTACATACCGAAATACATGTATATGTCTGTATCAATAGATATACCGAAATATTCAAATGTATTAATGTACCTAAATGAAGAACATACAAAATTGTTATCGGACTATATATTATAAAAAAATTAGTTGCCTAAATGTAGGAATTAAAATATATTATGATAAATGAAATGAAAATTAAATTTAAATGTAATTAATACATTAAAAGAGGAATAAAAAGTTAAATAAAACATCAAAATATAACTAATAAATGAGAGGATTTAATGTACTAGGGACTAGAATTGGATTTTAATCTTACACAAGGTTATAGTCTAAAATTCATCTTTTTTAAGGATTAAAATGAAGTTTTTTTATTGATTTAACAAGATTCTTTCTTTCCATTTAAGCTTGATATTTACCACAAAAAGATGAAGAGCTTGAGATTGTCGGTTCGCAGTGAAAGGGTGAAGGAAGATGAAAATAGAAGATAGAAAAGAGCGTCCAAACTAATAGTAAATGATATTTTTTTTATTTTTTATATTCTTTCTATAGTGGGCCCAGATTGAATACAAATGAGTAATGCTGAGTAGACTAAATTTGTAGATAAATTTTTTTAAACTAAATGACAAGAAAGTAAAATGTTGGATTATTATTTAAGCGTTGATAAACGTACTCATTTCTATTAGTTACACATCATTGAGTTTGTAAATGTTGTATACAAATTTAGTCTCTAGAGCATTACCTGATAGTACAAATGATGGTACAACTAAATGTTAAGAATATCATTTCCGCATAAAAAATGTTAAGGAGACTTTCTCAAAAATGGTACTCTCAATGGACTCTGCCAACGCACAGTTTAAGATCAATTTTATGCCAATATTATGCTTAAAACATGAGGTGGCAAAGAATCCACGGAAAGTCCAACTTTTGAGAGGGGCTTCTTAGCATTTTTTTGGTTCACATTGGACCGATATGTTTATTATTTTAATGCAACTTAACATTTATAAATGAGTATTGCTATGTAGACCAATTTTTTAGATCAAAAATTCCAAATCATGTAATATGACACCAATAAAAAATAAGCACATTAATCAATACGTAAGTAATAATCTATTCGTCAATTTATGAATTTTAGTCTAAAAAGTTGGTCACCCTAACATTATACCCTTTATAAATCTCATTGGACGGATCCATATTAGATATTTTTTATCTTATATATTGTTAGATAAATGATCACATTAGACTTATGTCGTCAAATAAAAATTATATTCGAAGATTAATGATCAAATTCAGACCACACGTTTAGATAAAAATCAACTTGAACAATGATTTTGATTATAGCCTAGTAACACAGTCAACTTATAATGTTTATGTTGCTTGGTAGATAGTAAGAGATTTACATTTTCCTGTATGAAAATAACACCTATAAAATTATAATTTTTCTGACAAGTCTCTATCTATTACTCCTTGACACACGTTAGCACCCCAACAAATAAAAAAGGGATACAAGGTGTAAGAATCCTTTGTGCTCTACAGAGTTTCAGAGCCCTCTTGTTTCCGGTGCTTTCCCTCTTAATTCCACACCACTTCTTATTATTTATATTCTTGAGATAGAAGGATATCTAGCTGGATATAGTTAGTCATGGGAAGGGCTCCTTGTTGTTCTAAGGTTGGTTTGAATAGAGGTCCATGGAGTAACAGAGAAGACACATTACTCACCCAGTATATTGAAGCTCATGGAGAAGGCCAATGGAGATCCTTGCCAGAAAAAGCTGGTACACATAATTACTCAATTTGTTATTGTTCATTTTCCACATTATTATATTACTTCTTATGTATGAATTATTCTCCTCATTGTTCTGTAATTTTTTTTATTTATTTGTTCTTACAGTTATTTGTATCGTACATTTTTTGGTCGAATTATTCTGTTATTAATTATTGTTTTCCATGGTTATTTAGGCTTCCTCAGGTGTGGAAAGAGTTGCAGGCTAAGGTGGATGAACTATCTAAAACCAGACATAAAGAGAGGCAACATAACCTCCGATGAAGATGACCTAATTATCAGACTACATTCATTACTTGGCAACCGTTGGTCTCTCATTGCCGGTAGGCTTCCAGGTCGAACTGATAACGAGATCAAGAACTACTGGAACACCAATCTTAGCAAAAGACTCATAAGTGAAGGAACCGACCCAAACACCCACAAAAAATTATCTGAGCCGATAGCCAAAGAAAATAAAAGGAGAGAGAACCAAAGTTGCAAGAACAGAAACAATAAGAAGGAAATGGTAAAGGTGATGATGAAAAGCAAGACGAAAATAGGCCAACATGTGGAGCCACAAAAGCCTAAAGTTCATCTCCCAAAACCCACTAGGATTACTTCCTTTTTATCCCTACCAAGAAATGACAGTTCTACTAGCAGCACTACAGTTACTCCTGCGTCTTCAATCCAAGATTTAAACGGAGGAGAAGGAGGAGCTTTCGGTGTTAATCCATGGTGTAATAATGGGGTTGTGCTTTGTGTTGGTGATCCAGATCAAGATCCTATCAATTCTTCAGCTGATGGCGGCGATGATCACACACTTGAAAATCTTTATGAAGAATATCTACAGGCGCTTCTGACAGACCATCATCACGATCATCAAAATCAACTTGAATTAGACTCATTTGCCGACTCACTGTTAATCTGAAAAAGATATACCCAATGAGTAAATTAAGTATTAGTATAAGATAGATAAATAAGTATGCTTGTCCCGCGCAAGGTTTTCATGTTAGGGTTTGAATTTTAGGTTTCACGTGCTTCCCGTGTAGTTTGTACCCATCTCTGTGTACGGACCTCTTTAATCTTTATTATATTTGTAATTATAATATTTGTTTGTGAGAAAAAAAAAAACAAATTTGTGTGAATATTTTATTTGATAGTGGCTTGGGCTTAATGTAAATTAGTTATTAACAATCAAACTCAAGTTGCGGCCTATATTTAACTGACAGGAAGAGGGGGTTGGTGGCACAAAGAATATAGAAAGAGAAATTTATTTGTAGGGTTGTGTAGAGGATGTGTTATTCCCTCTACGCAATGCCTTTATTTATAGTAATAAGAGAGAGAAGAAATCCTTCTCTTCCAAAGAATACAAGTCATAATAGGAAAGAATACCTAGAATCAAATCTAATCTAGGATTTACACAATCACACTTAAATAAGAAGTTTATAACACTCCCCCTTGAGTGTGTAAATGCTCATGTAGATTTAGCATCATGTAGAGTTGAGGAAGTCAACTAGTCGGCACTGATTCTGGGAACACGTTATTCTCAAATAAGGTAGGAACTTGCATAAGGAACTAAGTCTCACAAAAAACCCTATGGCTATGGTGAAAAAACACGAGTAGGGACAAAATCCATAATCTAAGGAAAAATGCATGAGAAATACAAAGTCATATGAAACGTCTACGGGACGTCATCGGGGATATGATCAAACCAAGGTGGGTGCCTCATCAAAACCTCGTTAGGTAGCAAAAATCCAATGGGAAAAATGCTCCTAATCATAGAGAAAAAGAGTGCATTAAGAACAAGCAAGTATACTTCAAGATACTCCCCCTGAGTTTGACATAACTCCAAAGAAAACTAGCAATGTTACAACTCAGAAAGTTTACGCATACCAATTCCTTGAACAAGCTTCTGAAATGTCGCATTCGGTAGTGATTTGGTGAAGAGGTCGGCCAGATTGTCTTGTGAACGGATTTGCGTGACTTCAATCTTCTGATGCTCTTGTTGTTTATGTAAGAATAAGAACTTCAGTACAATGTGCTTGGTGTTGTCTCCTTTGGTGTAAGCCTTCTTGAGTTGTTCGATGCATGCTGCGTTGTCTTCATAGATCATTGTCGAGACATCAACGACGGGGTAAAGATCGCATGAGCTTCGAATATGGCCCACAACTGCTCTCAGCTAAAAGCATTCCTAAGTTGCTTCGTGTAAGGTGAGAATTTCAACATTGTTTGACGAAGTGGCAACTAAGGTCTGTTTAGTTGACCTTCAAGAGATTATGGTGCCTCCAATAGTAAAGACATAACCCATTTTAAAGCGTGCCTTGTGCGGATCAGATAAGTATGCTGCGTTGGCATAACCTACAAGGCAAGAATCGACTCGAGATAAGGGGTTGTGGCATCACTCGAGGATCCATAGGGATAAAACAAGCCCAAATCCGTAGTACCCTTAAGGTAACGGAATATGTCTTAACACTAGTCCAGTGTTTGCGTGTTGGTGCATTACTATATCTTGCCAAAAGATTAACAGTGGAGGACATGTTAGGTCTAGTGCATTGAGCTAAGTAAAATAAAGCGCTTATCGCACTTAGATAAGGAATTTCAAGCTCCAAAATCTCTTGATCATCCTCCTTCAATGAAAGGGATTTTCCATCTAGCGATCAAACGACCATAGGAATACTCGAAGCTTCATTTTATCCTCGTTAAAAAGGCGCAACACCTTCTGGGTGTAGTTCGATTGATGTACTAAGATTCCATTCGAACGGTGCTCTATCTCGAGACCGAGATAGTATCGAGTCTTTCCTAGATCTTTCATCTCAAATTCTGACTTCAGGTGCGTGGCAGTTCTCGCAAGCTCTTCAGGAGTTCCGAAGAGATTCATGTCATCGACATATACTGCAACAATCGCAAAACCGAAATGTGACTTCTTAATGAACATATAAGGGCATAATTCGTTGTTCACATATCCCTAACTAGTCAAATACTCACTCAGACGAGTATACCACATTCTTCTAGATTGCATCAAACCATAGAGTAAACGCCTCAGCCGAATAGGGAGCGTGTTCCGGGGTTGGAAATATTTGATCCAGTCAATGTAAGTCCTTCGAGAACTTTTCATATAAATTTCCGTATCAAGATCCCCATAGAGATACACAGTTACTACGCCCATCAGCATACTCAGTTTTTTGGAAACTACCAAACTGATAAGGTAGCAAAAAGTAATCACATCCATAACGGGTGAATAAGTTTCGTCATAGTCAATCCTAGGACGTTATGAGAAGCCTTGCGCAACAAGACGAGCTTTGTAATGCACAATTTCATTCTTCTCATTACATTTTCGAACGAAAACCCACTTGCAGCCAACGAGCTTCACATGTAGAGAAGTATGAACTACTGGTCCAAACACCTTACGTTTCGCAAGCGAATCGAGTTCGACTTAGATTACTTATTTCTAGTTTGACCAATCAGTTCTACATCAACATTCATCAACAAAACGGGGTTTAATGCCATCGCTCAATATGATCTCAGTAGCTACTACATATATTAATGCATCATCAACGATCATCTCATTTCTACACCAAACATCATCCAAGCTAGCATAATAGACCGAAATCTCACGATTTTTAGGAGGGGGATTTGTCTCTTCAAAGACGCTTCCGTAATCTAGAATTTTTTCATGAGTTGAATAGAATGAGTAGGTGACAGTCGGATTCACTGTAGGCTCTTCAGGTGCCTGTTCTGTGGGTTTCCTTTTCCGAGGGTGTGAATCCTTTGAACCAAGTGGTCTGCCACGTTTTTGTGTAGGGGCAGATGATTGGCTAGCCATTAATGTTTATGGATCGATCAAAATGGCGTCCCGGGCCTCCAGGAAGGAACTTCGTCGTACATTTGGTACATCCATCTTTGCAGGCACATTCACAGCTAGAATATGTGACCTTGTCAGTCACACTAGATTGGTGAAAGCATCTGGCATGCTCTGAGCTACACTATGAAGATCTAATATACGCTGCACTTCAATTTCAGACTGAGCTGTGCGGGGATCTAAATGTGACAAAGTGGGAGTCGTCCAAGATAATTCGCGTCGTTCTTCAGGAACGTTAACGTTCTTATCTCTCCCTAATGAAGGGAAGAATGTCTCATAGAAGTGACAATCCGTGAAACAAGCAATGAACAGATTGCCTGTCAAAGGTTCCAAGTAACGAATAATCAAAGGAGAATCATATCTGACATAGATTCTCATCATTTGCTGAGGCCCCATTTTTGTAAGTAAGGGCGGCAAAATGGACACATAGACCGCACAACCAAAAATACGCATATGTGATGTGTCGAGTTCATATCCAATAACCAACTAAAGGGTGCTATATGGTTGGGTCGCAACAAGCCTCAGGCGGACCAACATTTGGGTGTTTAGTGCATGAATGTGATTTTGCAGAAGAAGTTTTCTAATGAAGAACACTAAGAGGCAGCTCAAAGCTTGAAAACAAGAGGCAACTACAAGCTTAAAAACACTCTTAACAGAAAGTATGAATCTTCTAGCCACAAACTTAAAACAAAATCACAAAGACAATGCTACTCTAATATACAAAAATTTGGGTGTTTAGTGCATGAATGTGATTTTGCAGGAAAGGGTTTCTAATGAGGAACACCTAGAGGCAACTTGAAGCTTTAAGAACACTCTTGTGAAAAATGTAAAATCCCTAACCAAAAAGGATGAAAACCTTAGCTGAGGTTATATAGACAATCTGTATTTTGTACATCCAAAAAGGACAAAAACCACTTGTCAACCTAGCAAACAATCTGAGCAAATTAAGGACACTCTTGTGAAAAATGTAAAATCCCTAACCAAAAAGGATGAAAACCTTAGCTGAGGTTATATAGACAATCTATATTACGTACATCCAAAAAGGACAAAAACCACTTGTCAACCTAACAAACAATCTGAGCAAATTAAGGGCTAAAGATGACCATCAGCAAAAAGGTGTCAGTCAACCCATGTGTGTTGTCTTAATTTGTGTGCCCAGACAGCTGGAAGTCAGTGTGCAAATTTGACGAGACAACCAAACCAATCAGAATGTAACAAGAATATAGACATGAAATGCACATGCACGAACAAACCTTTTGAAGTAAGATGTGCCACATTCTTGAACATTTCTTTCTAGCAAACACAACCCATAAACAAAGAATAGCCTAAAGCTAGATTGAGCATGTATGGTTCAATTACAATATTTGACAAGGAAAGCCAAATACTTAGGTCTAGACTTCACAAAAACAAATGTATTTTATGAAATAATGTCATGCTAAGAAATAATATTTGTCAATTACTATTTCTTCATTGTGTTATTTTCTTTCATAAAATGTCATTGTGGGTGATCACCAATGGCAGCCGCTCTGTCTTCGTTTTGGGTCAAAGTGACCCGACGACAAAGATACCTAGCGTCCATTGCTGAGTCAGTAGCTGGTCCCAAGTACACCGGTTGGATTAGGCCAGGTGCCCCAATCTGCCTAGTGTGTTCACGGTCGGAGACGGTAAGACGCTATGTCAGCCCCTTGTTGACGGCAAAAAGGCCGATGACAATTCGATTGTCGTGCACCCAAAAGAAGATGGAAAACTCCCAACCAAGAAGAAGGTCAAAGTGCAGGGGATCTGTAAAGGCTAAGCATCTAACCAAATTGTCAGCTTATAGCAAAACAAGATCGTAGTCGGTTACAGCGCACTCCATCAGTGAGTTAACATGAAAGTCAACAGCTTTTTGACTCACGACATGGGTGTCATCATCTGTACCAAATGCCCATGCTCACCTTTTCATGGAAGAAGCTATCCCCCCAAGTGCATGAGGAGATGATGAGAGAGATATCGATAAGTGGTTTATTTATTTTTACTTTTACTTATTTAATGTATTTTTTAAACTAATACACTTGTTATTTTTATCTATTTCAGGCCAACTTTTCCATTGACATGCAGCACCTGGGTATGAAGGAAACATAAACTGGGTGTGGAATAAGCAGTACAAAGAATGGAAGTGCAAGCTGCACATGTACTACAAGACTTGTGCATCTCCTGCTGAAG